ATAACTTTCCATGAGCACTTGGCTAACATCTGATAATGCACTTAATCATAAAATATATATCTAATCATAGTTTCATGATTAAGAAATATCGGTAAAATTATCACTATCTGTAAAATATCACTTTTCAATAAGGTATAAGTTAGCATTAGTCAATGATTAAAAAATCAATAAATTTGTTACAGTATTAATGTTTGTTAACAAAGTTAATAAAAATACAACTGTTCATTGTAAATTCGTGTTAGCTCAGATCCATTAAATAATATTGTTTTTTAAAATGTATTAATAATGTTAAAGCGACTAAAGTAACTATCGAAATAAAGTGGAACCGAAGTATTCATTAGGGTTATTTAGTGTAGGCCTGGTTCACAGACAGGGTTAAGATTAAGCCAGGATTTGGCCTCGGTTCTTAGGACATTTAAATAGCTTTTATAAACGTATGAGTAATTCAGCACTTGCGTCTAGTTCGGTAGAATAAAATGTCCTTATTCCTTTATATCTGCGGGACTTGTGTTGCGTGTTGTGCTCGTATACGTCTAGCAATCACGCCCTGCTTCACACCACAGTCATGTTAAAAACATCAATGTATTCACACATCCATAAAATATCCATCAGCTTGACTACAAGATCCATAATTCCGCTTAAAGGTGCTCTAAGCGATGTCACACGTTTTTTAGGCCCAAACATTTTTTGTCACATACAGCAAACATCTCCTCACCATCCGCTAGCTGCCTGTCCCCTAAACACACTGTTAAAAAAACGCAGTATATGCAGACAACCCAGGCTCCACAAATGGCAACAAAAACAAACTGCGGCAACCCGCTTCACGAAGCATAACAAACCGTTCCTGCCAATAACTGACAAGAAGGCCCTGTGAGTGGGGTTTGGGGGCTCAGTGCAGATGAGGAGGAGGAGGGAGGGTCTATCTAGCCTCCGTTTTGTTTGAAAATACTTTAAACGTCAACAAGAAGTCACGTCACCCGACATCGCTTAGAGCACGTTTAATGCAGAATATACGTCATCAAAATATGCCTTTGTTATTTTAAGAGGTTAGCGACCCCTGGTGGCGAAAAATCTTGGATATTGTACCTTTAAGATAGTTTAAACGTGCATTTTAGAAAGGCTTAGTCTTAATTGTCTGTGAAACGGGGGGTACTAATGTTAACAAATGAAAGTTTATTTGTAAAGTGTTAGCAAAATATCATTAGAACTACTCAAATCAACTCTTTACAATTCCTTTATGTCATTTACAGTTTTTGTCTATTGCTAAACCACAGTGGAGCACAACTGGAGCTACATGTGCAAAACTCTAACTACAGTCTGCGCAGCAGCAGTTCATGTGGACCAAACTCTAGATCGTTTTTCATTGCTTGAACACAGTTTTCAAAACACTTATCCCATGACTTTAACCACAACCTGCACAACACTGTGGATTTACAGCACTTTGTTCAAATGCTAACACACTGCTGTCAAAACTGTGAACCACTCATTCAAAACAGAATAAATTTCAGCCTTGTGCCTTTCACACACTGCTGACGTTCAAACAATTTCAGCTGAAAGGCTGAAAACTTGTGGCCTAATGCTTGAGAGAGGCAGGGTTACAGTATTACAGTATGTACTTTTAGTTTCTACCTTTTTTTCTTATTACTGTAATTCTGTAATTTACTACAGACTATTGAATCAAACTGCTAATTTTCAATTGTTATGTTCTAAAAAAGTAAAAATATCAAATGAAAGAATGTCACTGGTTTTTTTTTTGAAGAAAATATTACTTTGTATGAAGTGTGAAATTGTTGAAACTGTAAAAATGAAAAGTTAGTATTTTCTGTATTGGTGTTTGATGCTACTGTTTTTCCTCTCAGTGTGTTCTGACTGAGTGACAGTGTGTGTTATCTCAGTGAGGGTTGTGCATAGTGTTGTGCACACTGAGCCTGTTTTGAGTCGTGTGTTAAGAGTTGTGCTCAGGTGACTGTTGGTAATGCAGACTGTAGTTAGAGTTTTGCACATTTAGCTCCAGTCGTGCTCACTGCCGTTTAGCAATCGAAAAAAAAAACTGTATTATGATATTTTTTTACAACCACAATAAAATGTTGAGAATGTGTTTACTTGAAGCAGATGCAAATTGAAATTGCAATATTGCAAAATATACATGTAAAATCAAACACAAAAGCCTTTGTGTGAATGACGTCTGATGTTTCATGAAACTGAGCTACACAAATGCGCACAGCAAATAAACTGCAGTAAAATATATTTGCATAAATTTACAAACTATCATCAACTACATGCTAAACATCTCTTTTTCCATTTTACATTTCAAAACTGTCCTGTGTAAAAAGTAAATGTCAACCCCCATCTGGACGTGTCACTGAAACAATCTATATATAGTACTGAATGATTCTCTTTGACAAGCTACCGTAACATGGAAGTCATTTTGAAAACGACACATGGATTGATAGGTAAGATATTAACACAACAAATAGCGCATGATGATCTGGCAGCTTGTTTAAAACACAAAGTACTAAACAGTTTAGTCGCTTCTTCTCATTCATTGAACATTTTAGAAAAAATTATGATCATTAAAAAGTGGAGGTATGAGTTATTTAGAACATTATGTAACAAATGAATAGTCTTGTATTTCAGCTTCAAAGCCGTCACCCTTTACAAAATCAGTTTATTCTCTCATCCAGCAACATGAAGTAAATGATGAGATGCTTTTTATAATTATTGAAAGAGTCCCATAATGCTGGGTCTTCACTGTCTGAGAACCTGTTTCAAAAGATCCAACTAAATCAAACATTATATTGCATCATAAGATGTTGTTTTTTTTTTTGTCTTTGTGTTTAGAATATGATTTGATGGAAAGTTACAGCACATCCAGTATATTTAGTCATAAAATGATTACAATTTCTTTTAATGCCTTCATAAAAGGTCACTTGACATTAAATTCATAACCATTAAAGTAAAACCTTATTACAGCTAAATGATAACAGATACAGAATTCCCGGCTTTCATTTATATTTTGGACTTTGTACTGGGATGGTATTTCAGGAGTGAAACATTAGACCCATAAATCTAAAAATATGAATCCACAGAACTTTGAACACATGCCATTTAGATGTGCACAAAAACATGAAAAATGTACTTCGCAATAAAAATAAATACAGTATTTTGTAACTTGAAAATACACAACATTTATGTAAAATTGGCCATACTATTATGCTGAAATCTGGACCCATTCTAAATGCAAAGAATAATATTTAACAAATACTTAGAAATGTGTCTTTATATTTCAGCTGCTTCCCTTGCCTAGGAAATAAGAAATCACAGACAAACCCATGCTCACTAAAACCTTTCATGGATCTATGTAACAAAAAGTAACAAATTTGCATAATGCCAGTTTATGGTCTTCATTGGCTTGAATCATGCAAATTGTGACGCATCACAACTAGTGCAAGATGAGCAGTTGCGTTTAAAAAGTTTATAAATGTTTGTTTGTTTTTAGAAAATGGCCGGTCGTTTTGCTAGATAAGACCCTTATTCCCCGACTGGGATTGTGTAGAGCCCTTTGAAGCTGCATTGAAACTGCAATTTCGACCACCAAACAGTTGGTTGCCGTTAAAGTCCATTATATGGAGAAAAATCATCACACAGCTTTTTTTATTTTATTAACTGAAGAAAAGAAAGACATGAACATCAGATGACATGGGGGAGAGTCAACTATCACGAAATGTATATTCTGAAGTGAACTAATCCTTTAAGGGGAAATTTAAACAACAAATGAATCATTTTAAACTCTTTGAGAAAATAGGTGAGGTGCAATGTATATTATGAGATTTTTTTGTTTTGTTTTACCTTGCATGTAAACTTATAAGAGGCAAAATTAGTAACTTTAAAATATCACAATGGGGTGCTTCAATTATGCTTTTTTAACTAGGATCAACCATCACATCCTCACCTTACCTTACTCACAGAACTTTTTGACTTGATTCGATTTCAGATTTGATTCGAAGGAACTAATATTTCAAATTTTTTTGATTATTGAGTTGTGTGTGACAGATTTTGTGTGATTTTTAAGGACTGTTTAAACCATTGTGGGCCAGTAGCATCACTACTAATACTGAACCTTGAACTGATAATGAGAAGTTGAATAGTGAAAATGACACGTCAAAATGTAAAAAAAAGTTTTTCATTTTGTCCCAGACTGAGACGCTGCGACAGGCAACCCTACAAAGGACAGGTCGCTTGGAAAATGGATGAATGGATGGCATATTCATTGTTCATGAAGTCATAATGAAGTCATCGTTTCATTCCATAGTGCTCAATTTAAAACAAAAAGATGTAAGGATAAAGATGTTTTTTTGATAGTAAATTATTATTTGCACTACTGTTAAATTGGCTCTTCTGAATATTATGCCCATTAAGGCTGAATTTATCTGATCAACACTTTAATATTATTACAATTTTAAAAAAGTCAATATCATTACTCATCATTGCAAACCAGCTTATCATTCCAATATGCTGATTCATTGCTAAAGAAAATATTTCTTATTACCATCAGTATGAAAATCAAGTTTTACTACATACTAATTGAGGAAGCAATTTTTTTTTGATTAAAGGAAAGTTCAAAAGTTCATTTATTTTGAAATAAAATTCTTTTGTAACATTATGGTCTGTGTGTCATTTTGGTCAAATGAATGAATGCTTGCTGAATAAAAGTATTATTTAAAAAAAACATTACTGTTCCTAAACTGTTATTGACCTTTTCCCAATTGTGAGTATAAGAGGTACAGTATTGACTCTTAGTTTCCCTTTGTATTTATATAAGTCTACAAGTCTCTACAAACAGAGCTAATATTTGACTTGGATATGCTTTATGTCTCTGGTATCGGCCACAGGTGTATTTGTCATATTGGCTATGGTTTTACAATCTGACCCCCAAACCAGCAATGTCAGGTATATCCACAAATAAAAGTTGAATGTATATAGAACAAAGAGTGACTTACCAATGCAAAAACAGCACAAAGCAAAACTAAAGTCAAAACTCCTTCCATGATCAATCCGGTATGTAGTTAAAATAGCTTTTCCTAATGAAGCCTTGCATTCAAAAATTGTTTCCGAAAGAACTAGTCGAGCCTGTTGGCTTTACAGCGTTCACACATGCCAGCTTTATTGTGTATTTAGTCTCTAAACTCTTGGTTTCTGTTGCTTCTCTCTGCCTCTGTTCCCTCTCTGCTGACTGATAATGACCTGTTTTATTGCCACTTCTCCTTTTTCTCATGACGGGAAAACAATGTTCAACAACCTTTGTCCTGTGTTTAACCAAAGTTCTTCCTTATTTTAAAACTCCTCCTTTTTATTCTTTCTCAACTGTTTAAAACTCACTTGTTCTCTCTTTTTAAATGGCCCTCATCCTCCCCTATGCTTCATTGTCAAGTTTGGTCTTCCTCTTTCATTTATTTTACTTTATTTTGGGATATACTTTAAATGAAATACAAAAGGAAATACAAAAAAGGAACACAATTTAATTTGATATCTTTTTGTTGTCTAATTTTAGTTTTCTCCTTTGGATGAATGGTGCACGCTGTGGATTGGCAAGTTAACAATACTCTCAAACGATCCAACTCAGACAAGTTATACTTAATAAAGTACTTAAAGTATTCTTGCCTTTATTATAATAACAATAACATCAAGGCTTTAGTTACACATCTGAGTTGGGTGTGTCTTGATATCTGATAATGTGCACGTCATGTGTAAAGTGAACACAAGGAGTATTTATATCTAACCTATTGTATATACCTGAGTAATGTTTTCCCTGATTATGTGAATCACACATATACATATATAACTTATCTTAAATGTAAACTGTGTGTAGTCTAATAAGATGTTGAGGAAATGAAGTGTGTAGGGTTTAGTTTACTTTTAATTATAAGCCAACAGAGGAGGAGCGCTGTCAGCACTAATTTAATTGTTTCCCACTCTGTTTTTCACTTGCCATGTTGCAGAATTGCTTTAGTTTTTTGTCTAATGTAACACTTTACTTGAAGGGGTGTGCATAAGACTGACATGACACCTTCATAATCATGACATGTCATATGTCTTGAATATGAAGTAGGGTTTATGCATGTTAATGACAACTGTCATTAAGTGTCTTTCGCTCAGTAATGACATTATGAATGCAAATATGACATTGTTTAAGATGTCTTTGTTGTGACATCTTGACATAAACCATAACATCACAATCTGTCAGTGTCTTTGTCATGACAACTTGACATAAAATTAAGTTAAACTGTCATGTGGTTGGCTTTGACAGTTTAACTTAATTTTATGTCAAGTTGTTGTCAACTTTACTTGAAGTCATGACAAGTGTCTTTGTCATGACAACTAGACTTTACTAAGACAACACAACCTGTCATAAACATGACATAGCATGTTAATTATCAAACTTAAGAAACCACCTATCTTTATTGGTTAACATTACATTAAACTGTCATGTGGTTGGTTTTGACATTGGCCGTCATGAAGCCATTATAACTTTTTAATGACAAATTCAATGTGTACCACTGTAGTTGAGGTCACGAAAAATATTCATGACACAGTTATAATGCCTCATGACAGCCAATGTCAAAACCAACCACATGACAGTTTAATGTAATGTTATCCAATAAAGCTAGGTGGTTTCTTAAGTTTGATAATTAACATGCTATGTCATGTTTATGACAGGTTGTGTTGTCTTAGTAAAGTCTAGTTGTCATGACAAAGACACTTGTCATGACTTCAAGTAAAGTGTTACCGTTTTTTTCTTTCTTCCTTTATGTTGTTCCACTTTAGACATTATTGCAACTACATGTCAACTAACTCCCAAAGTATTAATTGACTGTTAGGCGTAGAGTTAGTTAGTAGAACTGAAAAGTTACTTTTAGTTAGTGGAATGTCTAAAGTGGGACAAACAAACAAACAAACAACAGGCGGCTAACAAGAAAAGTTTAATCATTATCACGTGTTTACATAAAATTCTGCTATATGTTTTAAATGGAAAGGAAAGCATTGCAGCATTGCAGACATGACCTGTATTTGTCAAAAGCAGCACAACAGGTTCTTCCTTTAAAAACAAACACCTGCCTTCCATCCATCCACTGTACTGATGTCACTATGATCAACACAACACTTGTTTAGTCAACTGGCACTTTCCATGGATAGAGTAGAAATTGGTGTCCTATTTCATTTTAAAGCAATAAAGGTGCGCCCAAATCCCTTGTTCTTTGGAAAAGAATTAGTATTATCAACACTATCTCACGACCAATTCGTACGAATTCGACGCATGATTAAAAAGTGTCTAATTCGTACTAATTCGTACGACCTCACTCGTACTAATTCGTACGATTTGTCTAAACCCACGTGATGGTTAGGTTTAGGGGCGGGGTCAGGGGTAGGTCATTCGTACGAATTCATACGAATTGGCCAATTCGTAAAATATGTACGATTTAGCAAAATCGTATTAATTTGTACGAGTGAGGTCGTATGAATTGTTACGAATTAGCCACTTTTTAATCATTCGTTGAATTCGTACGACTTGGTCGTGAGATCGGGTTGGTATTAGCCACCATAAAAATAACATGACAAATTTCTAGGTTTAAAACATACAATCACTGTAATAATTATTATTATAAAAAGAATAATTAAAAAGTATTTCCACCAGCTAATATTTGGCACATAAGAAATAAAAGCTTCTTTTTTTTTTTTTTGCGCTTTGCCGTTCATTTGCATAACAACTGAACTTTTGAAAACTTTTTTTAAAAGTGCACGTTTTTTAAACAGTAGAGTAATCATCTCCGTGTGAACTACAAAAACCCGAATTTGTGAAAACATGACGCCATGCTCATGATTATATCGTAGTTTTTGTCCCAAGTCAAGTCAATGGAGTTGACTTGATAAAAAACTACGATAAAACCTGTTGGAAAGCATATTTTGCAGCGATATTTGTGTGAGCATATATAATATCAGTGAACACCCCAGACCACTCTGTGAATTTCATGTTAAACTAAAGTTTAATGCATTTTAGGAATGATTGTTCCAGTGCACCGCAACCATTGTGGAGGTGGGGGGAGCTATCACAGAAACCGAAAATTCTCGGGCCAGCAGCATGTGCCCAAATTTCAATCTTAACCAATCTTAAAACAGGACTTTAAAGTGTAAAATACAGAACTTGTCCTTTAATTGTTCACCCTAAGACCAGTAATGTGTGCTAACACAGGGTCAATTTTGATTTGATGGTGACTTTAAACTGAGAAATTCACGCAATTTGATCTCAAAATGGCCACCTTTGAGAGTATCCAAGAAAACATAGTCAGTAATGACTTAAGTAAACAGTAGAGAAAGAACGCATGTGTATCATTATTTTGGCCTATGGCTAAGCCACGCCTCCTCCACTCACTCGGACAAAGAGTCAAAATTAGTGGTCGTGGACAGGCGCTATGGCAGCTGTCACAGGAGACATTTCACAGGAGGAAATTGATGATTTTTGGAGACATACAGATTATATATAATCGCAAGGTCACCTAAAGCGCCTTAACTATGCATTGGAGGGTTATATTAATAATTGTATTGTTGAGAAGGTCGATGAAAAGCAAAAATGTACAGGTCACAGTGTAAACGTGATAAACCGCATATCGTTACCATGCCCGTTTGGAGTATTTACATGCACAACATTGAGCACGACATTGTAAACATTATTAACTCGGTTATTTACAGATCCGTTAATGAAGCTAAGTGACATGATGTACAACGCAGCAAGCAGCTCACGTTAATGTTTTCTAACGTTAGCTAACGTTACATTAAATATTTTATATATAACGTTAAAATACGTTGTTGACTTAACTTAGAACAGATGCAGATGTAGCGTGACACGTGGTTAGCGCGTCTTACTAGCGTAACATTCAATAGGCCAAATGATCAGAAGAAAAGTGCGACTACTGGAGAGAGGAAGACAGCACAACAGGTGAGTGAACAATCAATACAAAGACTTCTTTATGATTCAGTTTGGGTTTTGTATTAAGAGGAAATATACTTTTACATAAAATGTGTGGATTACAAAGATAACAAATCAAATATGGTAAATGAAAATATTCACACTCTTGTTTTTTTCCAGATACGTGGACTCAGTTTTGGACAGTATTGAACCAGACTCTCACATATTGATGAAAAACAATAAAAGAAATAAAATAAACCTCTGTCAAATTCCTTGTAATACAATACAAGTAAATAACAATGGATAATGCTTCCACACAAAGTATTGCAATCAGTAGTTCAAATACTTCAAAATCAAATCAAATGAACAATCAGTTTGATTCAGTTCACAGAATGAAATTCAGAAATTTCACTTTCAGTTACAACAAATTACTTTCTCTTTAAACTTAATAGTCTGTCCAATGTGAATCAGAGACTCAAGATTTGACAATTAGATTCGGTTAACCAGAGTTCGTAACTCGGTCGATGGGTTCAGAGAACTGTTGATTCTTTTAGAAAAAATCAGAATCACAATCAATGTCTTTTGTTGGAAAATCAAAAGGAAAAATAGAAAGCAAGATGATCTCAATGAGTCCAAGTCCCGTTTGTCCAATAGTAAAAGAAAGAATTCTCCTACCAGTTTGATGGCTCAAAAAACACAGTTCAACAGAAAATATGGTTCCGGTGGCTCGCCATTTACAATCTGCACCTCGTGCGTCCAGCACGAATCAGGGAATCATCACAGGAGAACTTGAATCTCACAAAAAAACCCAGCCAAGGCGATGAATTTATATATATTTCCTACAAGGAAGTTAATTTGTGGCACATTGATGTTCCATCCATCTGCATCGATCTGTTTCACTAGCCTCCGTCTCATCCGCGTCTTACTCTGGCATCAGCTCATGAAGGGGTCTTGAAGATCGCTCCGTGTAGCTGCCTCATCTCACTCGCCCGCTAGTACAGATGGGCGGGGCTTAGCGCACTCCCGCACTTCCTCTGCTGCTAGCTCTTAAAGAGCCCATCACCTCATTTGATATGTGATTTCTTTGTTTCTTTCTTACTTATTTTCTGCTTCCATATTATTTTTTTAGTAGCCTGGATTACCCGGGTTACACTCTCCCTGCCTTGAAGATATGCAGGTCCCACTGCATCGTCCGGGCTGTGCAATTACAGCAGAGGGAGATCCAGCTTTCATTCCTTGAGGGGTTTCCCAAAGACAGTCAGACTCCTCCAGTGATGCTGTGAACGCTGTACTGAGTCCCCGCAGTAAAGATTGCATGACCAAGGAAAGGGGATTCCCTAA